GGATTATTATTGCCAAATTTCAAAAGGTGAAAATTAATGGCCACAGAAGATAGATAATTTACTTTAAAAATCCACAACAAACTGTGAGATAGTGCTCAGGAGAAATGGAGATAGCTCTTTTAAAATCTGTAGAGAGGCAGACTTTTAGGAATTCTGGAGAAAGTTTAATATTCAGGAACATATGGACATTGATTCTACTTTCTCCACACCCTAAAATGTAGCTTTGCTGATGAATATGTTATAGAACCAGAAGAACTTGGCATTGGAATGCATTCCCTTACATGGGGGTACATAGATTATTAGCATAACTTCTGAAATGGCTAGGTCAGCCTCAAGTTTAAAAGAGCAATGATTTAGCAAGAATTTGGTGGTTTTCCCACCCCTGACAGGACCCATGCTTGGTTGGAGGAATGTCTGTACCAGCTGCAGGCTGGAGAGAGAAGCCAGATCAAAATACACAGCCTCTATTGCTACTGTGGGTGGAACTACCCTTCTGCTAAGAATTCTTAGCTTAAAAAATGGGAAATGTGAAGCAGGTGTGTCTGAGGCTTTCCCTGCTTCTTGGACCCCCCTGAAAGACTGCAATCCCTCTGTCCAGTGGTTCTCACACTGGCCTCCTATTAGAATCATATAGGGGGTGGTCAAACAAGAATGATGCCTGGGCCCCTTATCAGAATAATTAAACCATTTTAGGGAAGGGGCCTAGACATCCCTATACAAAACAAAACAAACAACAACAACAACTCTCTAATGAGTTGAATGTCCCAGTGTTGAAAAATCAGTGCTGGCCCAAATTTCACAATACTAATCATACTATTAAATCTCAGGAGCTTATATGTAGGGCAACAGCAAATAGAAGAGAGAATAAGACATAAAAGAGCTTATATTTCTGCTCTGATGTGTTTGGTTGAGAGCACTGGTCTGGGAATTAGACCTTTTGCTAACATCACCTGGAATAGGGAGCTCATTGTTTTTGAAACCATTAAAACCCCATAGGAGGTGAGGTGATGGGTTCTGGGAATGGGATGTCAAGATGTGTCATTTTTAATGCTGCGTTTTTAGGAAATACTCTCTTTAGAGCATCTCCCTTGGGCCCGATGGTTTGGCAGCTTTACATCCAGCACTTAGCTATCCATCCCGCCGGGATCTTCCCTCTGATCTCAGAGTGCTGAAGACAGCTTCATTGGCAAAAGCAGCACCGAACACCAGCTCCTACAATAAGCTGCTTGAGTGTCATCCCCACACAGGTGACGGCCGCCTAGGTAGGCACCCATCATGTGAATGTTAGCCGAGTGGGTGTCACCTACCCATTCATTAGCCCTGGGAGGAATAAGGGTCACAGCGTGGCAGGAAGGAGAGACTCAAGAGATGTGTTGGGTCACTTTGCTCAGTGGGGGAGATCGAGGCCCAGAGAGGTCACCCCAAGAGGTGCACAGGTTTGGGAAGAGGCAGCTGGCCCATCGCGCAGGTCCTTGCACCTAGGATAGGGTTTCTCCCCTCTTATTTTATTCCCTCCACTTTCTTCATTCCTTTGCTCCCTGGCTTTATTTTCCTCCTTTCCTTCTTTTCCAGGCTTCTTTCTGACTCTATCTTGTCCTATTTCTCCCTGTTTTCCTTTTCGATTTTGTCGTCTGAGGCCTTACCCTCATTTTGCCTCCACTGAAGGGCTCTGACTGGAAAAGATGGTTAACTCTTAGACTCAAATGTTCTGTCCCAGTGAATTAATTGACTCTTAAGGTTTGTGATCTATAGTGCAAAAATACAAAAAATTAGGTCAAAAGGAGGAAAAAAATAGGAAAATTGATAAAAAGGAAACTAAAGGTTTAACATCTCTGAACTCCTTCACAGAGGCAGATGCTGCCAGGTGGAGGGTGGAATGAGGCCATCGCCCAAACTCTTCACAGATGGGAAGGGATGATGTTGGACGACTAGATTGTAGTGTGAGAACTCATTTGAAGAAAACTTCTTGTGGCATCTCAGCAGGAGAACATTTTTATCAACAGGATGGTTATTGCCTGCCTGGCTGGAATTTTTTTATTTTCTGCATCATTCTATTTGAAATCACGGGGATTTGACAAGAAGATATTTCCTTCCATGCGTGTGACATTTTGTATTTGGGATAATACATACTTTCTCCCCCCATATTTTAGGATGTGAAAATGTATTAAAGTGACACGTATTTTTCCCTCAGATATTACCAAACCAATCCCTACAAAAGCAGAAAAAGGATAAAAATATAGATCTGAATGTATTTTTGTTCAATGTCCTTTTGTTTTCTTAACCTTCCTGGAATGAGCATGAAATTCTCTAGAGGGACAAAAATCTGTATTCTAAGCTTGGGGGAAAAATGGCCCCTGTTCAAGTGCTTTCTCACAGGCTGCTGTAGTGGACATTGATTTATTTTTGGTGCCCAGCATCCATCTGCCCTTTCTGGAATCACCGCTTCTCCATTCTCTCAGGCCATTTAGTGAAATAAAGCTGGCCCCATGCCCAACTTCAGGGGCAGAGCATGTGACCCAAGCTTAAGTCAATGTGCACACAGTGTTCTCCTGCCTCTGATGGTTGGCTTGTGATTGGCATGTGATTCTACAAAGCCAATGAGACTACTGAGAGAAGAGTCATGTCCTGTTTTTCCACTTGAACCTGAAATGATATGGGCTGTAGTTGTAGCCAATCATAAAGGAAAAGCCTATTTAAGAGTAAATTGATACAAAAGATGAAACCTAATGGAAAACAGAAAATGTTTGAATATATTTGGAAGAGATTTAGACAATCGGACAGAGTTGGAGATAAATTAGTGAAGATAAATGTTGTGGGTTGAACTGTGCCACCTCCTTTCCAACTCTTGGTACCTGAGGCTGTGACCTTACTGGAAGTAGGGTCATTGCAGACATAATTAAGAAGTAAGTTAAAAATGAGGTCATTCAGGAGTAGAGTAGGCTCTTAATTCAAGATGACTGGTGTCCTCATAACAAGAGAAGAGACACAGATACTGCCATGTGAAGACACAGATACACATAGGGCAAAAGGCCATTGGACAATCAAGGCAGAGGATGCAGTGATGCATCTGCAAGCTGAGGATTGCTGGCAAACACTGAAAGCTAGCAAGGGGCAAGGAAGAGCCTTCAGAGGTACCAGCCTTGCTGGTACTTTAATTTCAGGCTTTTAGAATAGAGAACTTCCCCACGAGTGAACGGTTTTAAAAAAGAAAAATAAATAGAATAGAGAACTGTGAGACAATAAATTTCTGTTGTTTAAAGCCATCCAGTTTGCGGTACTTAACTATGGGAGTCCTAGAAAACTAATATGATATGTATGTAGAAAACCTAGCATGTGAAAAAAAAGACTTTTTTTTTTTTTAAAAAACTCCAGGGAAAGGAGTTCATTTGTTCAGGAAAGGAAAGGTGAACATGGTATACCACATGGCTTCATTGTCAAGAATTTAATAGTCATAGTGCTATAAATATTGATTACTGCTCTTACCAAAATTGTACCATACTGGGAAGTATGTATGTGTGGTGAGGTTGCATGTGTGTGTATGCACGTCCCTATGAAGTCACCTTCCATAGTGCAAAGCATCAAAAATAATGCTTAAATTGAAAAATCAAGAGGTAGCAACATGAGCATGTTATTTAGAGATAGAGGGGTAAGTAGTAAAGGGTTCAGTTAAAAGAGCAGAAGAAAGTGGCTGCCTCCTGAGAGCAGGAAACAAGAGCTGGGGAATCTTTGGATTGCTGCAGAACTATTTGACTCCTTACACTACGTGCATGAGTAACTTTGATATAGCAGAAAAACTGCATTACAAAGGAGAACAAAATTTGAACCAACGAAGTAAATTACTTGTAGAACTAAGGAATGTGCTGACTTTGGACAAAACATGAAATTAGATAAATTTATTTTGGGGGCTAGTTGCTACCATTTCCTGGGCAGTGGGGAAGAGGGGTGGAGGGGAGGGTCAAAGTTCCTCCATAAAGCCTTCACATTTTGCCTTGTCCTATATTCAAATCCTGCATTTGTAAAAGAATAAAAACGTCCATTACCTTAAGTCTGTAATTAATGTTTAAAACATAAAGTTCATTTTCACGGGGATTTTTTCCTTAAAACTGAAAGGAAATTCTAAAGGTGAAATTTCCTTCTATTTGTGTTTCCTTGGGGTGGGAGTCACAGGCACTTTCTTATCCTACTGGAATTCTGAGTCAGATAAGTGTATTTCTGACTGGTAACTAAGAACTCGGTGTCCTTGGCCTCTTACACTGACCTTAAAGCAGATGCCTCTCACCCATTCACTCCAGTCTGTCCTTAATCCTCCTTGAGGAGGAAGGGTCCAGCCTGCACTGCTGCTTTTTACCATCAGGGGGCAGTGGGGCCATGAGTGCCCAGGAAGGAGGGGGGAAGATGCTTAGCACCTGGCGAGTGGGAGGAAGTGTCTCGCAGTGTTTGCACTTAAAGCATCTCAGTAGCTAGATATTTCATTGGTACAAATGGTGTGTTTCTTCTAAATTTTGTGCCAATCCCAAAAGGCAGGAAGCTCGATCTTAATGCATTTGCCATGGCTATCTATTTCACTATAAGCCAAGAATTTATTAGGAAAATGAAGAGAATTGCAGGAATAAGTTTAGACTGGCATTTCCCCATTTTTCTACTTGTAGAATAGATTTGGAACATGTTCTGAGAGAACAGCTGAAATGGTGCTCTGCTTTCTTACCTATTATTCGAAAATAGATGTGCTTCTCACATGCATGGATAGACCATTACTCCTGATTTGTATCTCAGGGACAAATCTGACTTATTAGCACCGTTATTTGTAAACTGCTAACCTGGTTCCCTGTGCTGCTGCAACGCTATCTTGATGGGTTGCTGTGAAAATGTGAAGATGTCTGTCAGGCAGGAAAAATTATGTAAAAATGATGTGGGTATAGAAAATGGGATCGACAAAATGTAATAAACTCCTCCTGGGCTGAAGAGCAGAGCTGCATATGTAATGAAGTACTTTAGGATTACGTCACCTTTTATATAACATCTGGCAGTGACTTTTATTTCAGAGCTAATTTGAAGAAGCCAGGCGCTTTTCTCTTCCCCTCCCCAAGACTGCCTTTATCTGAAAGAAGAAAGAAAAGAACTGTTACATTTTGCATGCAAAGAAAGCCAGAGTGGCTAGATTACTCCCTTAGGGTAATGGAGAAAGGAAAAAGAAATTGAAAAAGGTCAGGTGAACAAAGCAGAAGGAATGAAGAGGTTTGTGTGATTCTTAGTGAAATTGGACCAGTCTAAGCAACCAGACAGGTAATCTGGGTGACTCTACCCTTCCTTCTTCCCTCTCCTGCCCCTCCCTTGGGTCTGGCTGTATAGACATGACCCAAGAATACTATGGAAATAGCTTTTCCTGAAATATTTTGTATGAAGTGAAGAGTTGAAAAAATTACTGAGATAATTTAGGAGAATCTTAAAATTTCTTCCATTAGCCTTTGAGAAAAAAAAAGCTCAAAGCTCAAAACAACACCTCTCTCCCCAATAATATCCAGACTTATTGATCTATTACAATAGATTATTCAGATGGTCAACTCATCACTTTAATTGGTCTACGTAGGCAATGGTGAAAGGTCTATGCAATAGAGTGGGAATTCACTCCTTTGAAGCCAGGGATCCAGGAGTGGAGAAAACCCTCTTTGCATCTCTCCTTTCTCCTTCCTCATAGGTTCTCTGCCCATGCTTGCCTTGGTGCAACCTGGACCTTGCTGAACCATGTTTACTGGCCTCATTGTTCTCTTTCATCGTGTGTTTTTAAAAATCTTCCATTCTGTGTAAACCCTGGAAATGCCCTTTTCTGAATTTCAAGGCCATGTCTACCATTCAGAAGAGGTCATATTTTACTTTTGTATCTAATGAGTTCCCAACAATGTGTTTGAAAGTTAGTTGGGTATTTGAAAGTTGAACAATAGATTTGCATGTTGTAAGGAAGAATTTCTTCTCAATTTTAGCTAAAGTATATGATGAAATCCCTAATTATGGTTTCTACCAGTGCCACCTCCCTCAGGCCTTGGCAACCCTGTGGGTGGGTGAGAACAGGCACATGGCTGGAGTAGGTGGCAACTGCCAGCCGTTGTGGGCTGGGAAAGTTAATCCAGGAATCTCTTCTTTTGAAACGTAGCTCTCCTTCTCTCACTCAGCCCAGCCTGAAAGGGCAAGGGCTGGAGCAGAGGGTCTGGCTCTTACCCTACCTCTGAGAATAACCCACATCTGACCCCCATGAAGTGGTAGACATGGCGTTGGTGGACATGGGCTTAAAGGGTGGACATGTGTGGAGTATTGAAGTCATTGGGGCTGGTCAAAGCACACCCTCAGGGATGCTTGTCCTGTGTGAGCTAGCAAATTCCAGGCTCCCTGTCCACAAATCTGGAGTCCTGGCTAGCAGGGGATGATCCTTCAGCTTGGCAACGTAGATTCATCTCTGGCACTGTGTGAAGGAGGTGCTGGAGAAATTCTTTTATTGTCTTAGCTTGGACCTGGCCCCTTCTCCCAGTAGCCATGGCTGCCTGGCACAAGATAGCTTGATCATTATTCTAAGGTAATTTAGGAAAGACTGAATTTTGAGTATGGAAGGTTTAAAGATGCCAGTGTTTAATATTTGGTAGTGTGCTACCCTGGTTATGTATCGTGTAGCACATTACTGCTAAACTTTGTATCTGAAAATAACAACATTTTCATTACCTTAGAAGTTTGTGGGTCAGGAATTTGGGCTATACATGGCTGGGTTGTGTTTCTGCTTCACATGGCATCAACCAGAGTCACTTAGTGGTCTGCTGGGGGCTGAAGGGTCCAAGACAGCCTCACTTACATGCCTGGTTTCTTGACAGGAATGGCTGACAGGCGTTGGGCCCCTCTCTCTCCGTGTGGTTCTAGGGCATCTCTACGTATTCTTTTCAGAAGGGCATTTGGATTTTTACATAGTAGCTGGCTTAGGACTCTGCCAGTTCTCTTAGAGTCCAGGTAAGCTTTTTTTTTTTTTTTTTTTTTTTTTTTAAAGGGTTTCTTTCTTTTCTTTTCTTTTCTTTTTTTTGGAAGAGGGGGAAGGAAACAGGAGTTTATTAATTTGCCAGCAAATGAGGAGATTGGCAGATTTCCGTCTCAAAGCACCAACGTACTGCTTCTGCGCAGAAGTATAGAGCTTTCAAAGGTTCTGATTAATCCCATCTTCAGCTAAGACAATTTCATAACTTCTGCCCAGATAGGGTGTCTTTCTTCATATATTCATTTATTTCTTTAAAAAATAAATAAATAAATAATTTTTAAAGGCTGGGCCTCACTCTTGTCGCCCAACCTGGAGTACAGTGGCCTGATCATAGCTCACTGTAACCTTGAATTCCTGGGCTCAAAAGATCCTCCTGCCTCAGCCCTCCGAGAAGCTGGGACTACAGGAGCACTCACCACACCTGGCTATTTTTTTTTTTACTTTTTGTAGAGATGCGGGGTGGGGGGGGAGTGTCTTGCTATGTTGCCCAGGCTGGTCTTGAACTCCTGGCTTCAAGTGATCCTCCCACCTTGGCCTCCCAAAATGCTGGGATTACAGGTGTGAGCCACTGCACCAGGCAGAGACTAGGCTTGAAATTGGCAGAGCACCAATTCTGTCATACTTCATGTTTCAAAGCAGTCACTGGGTAGCCCAGAATCAGGAATAATAGAAACAGATCCCTCTTCCCAAGGACAGGAGTGTCAAAGAATCTGTGGCCATCTTCGACCCACCACATGGGGGCTGCATAAATGTAGACTGTGTGGAACTGGGGCAACCAAAAGGACAGGTGGGGGAAAGATGTTTCCTGCCTTTGCTTCCTAGCTAGGAATCGCAGTTTTCCTGAGGGAGGCAGGTTTATTGGAAGGACTGAGGTTCCTTTTCTGCTATTACCCAAGGAACATATAGCTATGTTCTGCTATACCAGGGCAACACTGAGGTTTGTGTTCTCCTTCATGCTTTTAGTTCAAAATAAAGCTCTTGTTAAAAGTGCTTAGGAACACTGATGGTAGGTACAATGGAAACATATGAGTGGGTAATGTCTGAAGGATACTTTGGAGATGATATTGGCAAGTTTCCAAAGGAGGAATTGGGAACATTTCTCATTTTCTCCACTGTATCACACAGCTGTGCCAATGACTAAACAAGCAATGGATTATGCAGGTTTTGAAAACTTTTCAGGTTTTTCTTTTGTGTAGAGCAGAGTTGGGAGGGGACAGAATTGTTTTTTTTGGTCTAATTTAACTACATTTAATTTCCTTTGTCCCTATGTTTGATGTAATATACAAGATCCCAGCAAAAGCTTTAGTAAAAATGATAGCAATAGTATGTGGCTCATTATTGTAGATGTGATACTATACTGGCAGTGTCATGGGGTCCTCTTTTAGGCACTCGTTTAATGTAACTAATTTTGAAAAGATAATATGTGCACATAGTGCAAATTTCAAGGGAACAGTAGGGCACAGAATAAAAATATCTCCCACATTCCTATTCCTGAGTTCCCCCTGTCCCTTCCTTAGAGGCAGTCATTCTTTTTTGTATATCCTTCCAGACAAATTCTATATCTATACAAATACCCACTTTGTGTGTGTGTGTATAATTATAGCATATATAATTATATATCCTTTCCCCTCACGAATAGAAGCATACTGTATACTGTTTTGCACCTTGCTTTTTCATGAAACAATATATTGGAAATTGTTCCATACCAGTAAATATAGATTAACTTCTTTTTTCCCAAGAGCTACATAGTATTGTTTTGCATGAACATAGAATCAACCTTTTTTTTTTTTTAACTGATTTCGTCGTGATGGATATTTAGGTTGTCTCTAATCTTTTGCTGTTATAAATGACATAAAATGAATAGTCTTGGGTGTGCATATTTGTGCATATGTGTGATCACATCTAGAATGGAATTGTGGGGTTGAGGGGTATAAACATTGTAATTTTGGTATCTGTTACCAAATGACCCTCCATAGACATTTTATTATAATAGTCTTCATTCTGCTACTCAGCTTTTGTTTTAGATCCTGGGGATTGTCCATGGAATTTGTTATAAGAAGGTCAAAGGTGAGGGAACAAGTTATGAGATTGAACAAGAAAAGACTTACATCTGTGTTTTAAAATCAGCCTTCATATTATGAGATTTCTAAGTAGTTTACCAAATATTCTGGCAAAATAGACCAATAGAAGGCAGTCCTTGCTAAGATGAAGCCTGTGACTTGGAGCAAATGAGAAGTTTGGGCATAGAGTGGTAAGAATCTGTTTCTAGTCTGACGTTGACAGTACTTATTGTTGGACTTTGGTTAAGCTGATTATCCTTTCTTTGACCTCAGTTTTTCTTATTTGTTAAATGAGTATTTAGAGTAGATTATCTTAGAATAATTCTTGGATCCAAAATTATTTGATTCTATGAAACTCCTTTCACTTTTTATAATGTAATACAAAGTCCTGTGGAGGTACAGTTACATGATTTGCAAGTCCCTGTGCAAAATGAAAATGCAGGTTCCCTGCTCAAAAGTTATTAAGCATTTAAAGATGGCCACAGCAGAGCATTAACCAAGTGTGAGCCCTTCTATAATAAACATGGGAACCCTATGCAACTGTATAGGCAGTAAGTCCAGGAAGCTGGCCCTGCTCCCATAATGACTCTTGCCTCCAAATCAACGGCTTATTTCTACATAAGTATCTGGTGGCAGTTTGACATAGATATGTGGTTGAGATGCCCACCATTCTTTTCTAAGAAAAGCTGTCTTGGTCCACACCCTCTTTAGCACAAGGAACCTGCCCTAAACTGTACCTTATGTGATGGGCACCCACTGATTGGACCAGAGTCAACCACCTGACCCAAGGGCAACCATTTCCTAGGCTGGCGACTGGCTTGTGTGGTGGTCTGGCAGGAAAAGCTCTGACCAATGGGAGGTAAGTAGTTATTTTAGTAAACAGACTCTCTTGCTTTCTCTCATTTGAGCTGAGAAAATGGAGAGAATCAGCTGGCTGGGTTTGGGGTTTGGGGTTGGTGACAGTGGGGGTGCATAGGTAGAGAAAGAAGCCATACATATTGCCATGTGTAACTGAACAGTGAACCCTCATTACCTGAGGTAGCCTAAGCGAATTCATTTCTGTCCTTTGCAACCCAAAGAGCATAATTACTCCAGTGTTATGCTAGACCATAGCTTCAGCCTGTTAGCGATTAAGCCATCTAGGGAATGTGGATTAAGAATAATTAAAAGTATGGAAATAGAAAAATAGCTCCCAAACCCTATTTTCTCCCTCATCTGCCAGCTACTGCATCAGAATCAGCTGGCTGAGCGGCCTGTGTTGGCCAAGTGAGGGCTGATCTGATCTGGTTGAGTGGTGCCCTTCTGACTTTTTCCTGCTTCATTTATTCATGTCTTAACCAACTTTCTTACATATCCCTAGGACTGTTTTTTAAAAACTTCTTCTAAGTTATTCTTGACATCTTGTTCTACTTCCAGTGGAGTAGCCCTAGGAAAAATGTAGCTGTCAAATGTGCAAAAAGACACACGTTTTCTTGGTATCTATCTTTTTCTTTCTGCTGGACTATGCTAATGGATCCCTGGAGTCTGCAGCAGGCTGAGGAAGGAGCTGGACTGACCTCTCCAGCCCTTTCACAGTTTAGCCTTGCTAAGGAAAGAATTTCAATATAGTCACTTCCCAAGCCCTAATTATAGAATATCTATATAATCGTTTGATGCTTTTCTTTTTCCTTCATGGTTCAATAGAGTTTGTTGGTCTTCAGATGAATAACCAACTAATTTGGTCAGGAATGCCATATAACTTATCATTGACAGTAATTTGCTTTCTAGGATGCATTAAAATCTGTGGTGTGTGGGCTCATTATTTATAATAACATATACTGCACAGAGTAGCCTACTTAAATGAGGCATGCATTAAACTACACCATGCAAAATGGATCTCAATTCATATGAATCACTGTAGCCTGAGTACCTTGGATAAACCTGAGATAGGAGTCACAGTGCTTATTTTCATTTTCCTTACAGGTGCCTCCTGAGGCACAGTTTAGCTGTGTTTTGGGGGTAAACTAGGAAAACAAATTGCCCAGTTGGCATTAAACATGGAAAAAGAGACATTTCTATCTGCCTTTACATTAATGCACTGCCTTCAATGTTCTTCCTTGAAAGGGCCCAGATCTGGGAAGGAAACAAGGGTGAAAGGCCTAGAGTTCTATGTTCTTCCTACCCTGGGGAAGAACTGTACTTTCCTAACACCCAACAGATTTCTTGGTGAGCACCTATGCCTGGGTGCAGGGACTGGCTAGAGGCTGTGGGCTATCTGGGGTGATAACCGTGTGAATGCGCTTGAGCCCTGTGTGGCCATCATCTCTACACATGGGAATGGAAAAAGTGAACCTGGTAATATTTCCAGGTTTATTTTGCTGAGGATTCCAAGAACCAAATCCTTTCCATGTCCGTTTTCTCTTCATAAATGGATACTTTTTTTTCTTAAAATATTTACTTTTTTCTTTCTTAATCTTTTTTCTTTATTTTTCATCTCTTGAAGTTAATTAGGATGGCGCATAAAATGGATATGCTAACATTGACATTACCCTAAATGCTGAGACATAACCCCCTGCATACATTACTGTAATACTTTTTGTTTAAATGAAATGTATCTAGGTTTTTGAAAATAATAAAAATTAAAACTCGATTTTTTAAAAATAGCACTAATATTTGGGGATATCTGGCTGGTTGAAAAGTAGATCAGAAACACTTATCAAAGTCTGATCACAGGAACAAACTGGGATGGATATATATATATATATATTTAAATTTATTAGGAGGGCACAGTATTAACAGAATAGTGGGGGGGGGGTTGGCCAGGAGAATGTCATTTATTTAGGCTTTTAAAGCATTGTCGGTGCACTATATCCTAAGAGTCACAAACACCACCTTGCAATAGGAGGTATGAGGGAGAAAAAAACTCCCATGGATTAGAGCCTGATTATCCTGAGGAAATCCAGAGGTAACATTAATGGCTAATTCCTAGGATGCAGAGGGATTAATGGCAGATTACCACAGTGCTCTCTAGTAGAAGCAATTTGGTTTAAATTTTATCATTTCTGTTTCCCATTTGGTTATGAGAACATTCTCATAAACTTACATATTTCACAGCCCACATGCTAAGCGCTGAAGCAATGTCATTTAATATACAACCAAATATAGACCTGTCATTGAACATTACCCACTTATACAGAATCATAGTTTCTTCTAAAAAATCCTCAAAGAGAACAAAGTAAATGGTGTAAGCGGGACACAGGCTTTTCTTGGGTGCCATGGAAGTCTCCTGCCTCTTTATGAGGCCACCAGGACGCTGCAGTTGGCAAGTGATGGGGCTCCCGCCCCCAGAGGCAAGGCTTGCGATGGCCGCCCACATGAGCCCGCAGGCTCTGGTGCAAACCAAGAGACAGCATGCAATTTGTGGATTCTACTGTTCACTGAAATGTCAGTGAACAGTAGAAATTAGGCAAAATTGTGAGAAATTCCAGAGGTCAGAATGGATAAGGGAATTGGGCAATATGGTGGAATGTTCTCCTTAAGAATCTGCCCCACTGCTATTTAGCTTGGTTGCAGAATGTTCAAACATAAAAGAATATAGGATATAAAAAGTAAACATCTAACATCTCATCCCGCTTGAATTTTACTCCCCTCCCAGATGGTAACCACTGTTTGGTGTTTCCCTTGTACCTAGACGTTTCACACCCACATATATGTACGTATTCAAGTGTGTAGGTTTCTTAAGAAAAGCAAATGGGATGATACTGCACACATTGTCTTGTCATTTAGCAATATGTCTTAGTACAAATAGGTCAACAACTGCATTCTTTTAAAATTGTAGTATTGTTCTCCTTCATGTAGACATTTAACTTTCTCCACTATAAACAATACTGCAGTGAATATCCTTGCCTATGCTTCTTTGTGCACAGATATAAGCATTACTCTACAAATGGGGCTTACGAGTGGTATTTCTGGGTAGAACTGTATGTATATTTACAATATTGACAGATACTGCCAAATAGCCAACTGAAAGAATGCTCATTTTTATTCCCACCATCAGTGTATGAGAGCACCTATTTTCCTATATCCTTGACAACTCTGGATATTATCAATCTTGTTAATTTTTGCCAATGTGGGGGATACAGAAGAATAACTTAGTTGTTTTATATTTCCTTGATTAGTGACTGTTGAGCATATTTTCCTGTGCTAGTTGAGCATTGCATTTGTTCTTCTATGAAATGTCTATTCTTGTTCATTGTGCATTTTTCTATTATTTTTTATTTTATTGACTTAGAGTCACTCTTTATGTATTTTCTGGATATAAATTACTTGGATTTTATATATTCCACATATTTTATACCGTTTGACATTTGTCATTTTTCTTCATCCTTGGTGTCTTATTTTTTTTTTTCCCTAGAAACAGGAAATAGTCCTGGGTGTTTTATTGAGCATGGGGACTTAATTCAGTTATTATATAATGGAGATTATATGGACAAAATCTGTAAGCCAACTAGGATCTACAAATTTTATATTTTCTTTCCAACTTTTTGAAGATGGGAAAATTTAATTTCAGACAGGTTGTTTTTGCAGTATTGAGAGTAGTGTGAGAATTAGTTGTTCTGGTACCTTTACACTTATTTGCTGAGAGTGTGTGGGGGGTAGTTTCAAAATGCATTTAAGATAATGTATTGATAGGGTGAATTAATAATGGAATAATTTTTTAAAAGATGATAAAACAGCACGAAAAGATGACAGTAGGCACGTAAGGAAGTTGGTCAAAAGAGGGCATAGTTTTACTCCTTTCCCCACCATGCAATGTCTCAGGTCCTGCCCCTAGCTGACTCCTTTGCCCAGGTTCTCTGTTTAATGCCTTTATTTATTTATTTATTTATTTATTTTCTTTTCTTTCTTGACAAAGACATTTAATGTATCTAATCAGAAAGGCATAAGCTACTTCAGGCTATGTTTATTTTCAAGATGGAAAATGTATACTTCTAGAAAGATATCCTACTATTTTGGTTTGGTAGATGGAAATAGACATAGCTATGATTAACAGGATTCTCTTACAAGTGCAACATTGACAAAAAAGAAGGCAGGAATATGAACCCACCTTACATAATGGCTGCTTTAGTTAGTCAAATTCAAATGACTTTTTGTTTTGTATTTATTTATTTATTTTTTTAAATGCCACGGCCTATCAATCAAATGGGAATTTTCATTTAACAGCCACTTCTCACACTCCAGCATGTACATTGGATTACAATAACACATCTGTGGTGTCTTATATTGTAAGGAGGCTTATGTAGCCAAATCCGTCAGTCCTTTATGGCTTAATGATTTTATACCCACTCCAATATTATCAAAATATTTTCCCTAATGTTAATATTTTGTAGGTAAAAAATTATTTAATCTTTTAATGAATATGATATGTAGTTTTGTGTAATGTGTGAGATAGTGAAACTTTTCTTTTTTTCTAGAACAAATTCTCATTTTTCAGGCACACCCACCTATGATATATCCCATATGTTTCTCTGTGACACCTTGGAATTATGGATCCTTAGGACGTCTGTAAGAGAACTTCCTGAAATTGCATGCAGAATTTTGTGTGATATGTTTAGCTTCATTTTTTCCTGTGGAGAAATCCACAGGGAAGGTTAGGAAGTGCGACATTCTCTCTCCCACCTTCCACTGGAAAGTACCAGAGAGCAGCTTTGTTTCCACATGCCTTTCCAAACTCCTCCATTCATTTCTTCAATTCTTCTCGTTTAATACCAGTAGTGTTTCCTAATTAACCCATTCAACAAATGTTAAGTGAGCACCTATTACATTAAGTATGGTATCAACAAAGCTCACTAAGACCTGGAAGCTGCTCTCAGCTGGCTGATTGTCTAGTTGGGGAGACAGACAGACAACCCAGCATGTTAGAATACCATTGTGTTAGGATAATGGTGTGTGCAGAGGGCTGTGAACATTTATAAGAGAAAGCAATTCTAGATTGTGTGTGCGTGTGAGCACGCAGTCATTTCAAAAAGATCATTCTGGCACCAGCATGGAGAATAAAGAGAAAACAAAGGGACC